CCCTTCCCCCCTTCCGCCTCTCATGTGACTACTGGCCTGGATAGGGCCACGAAAGCTGGAGGAGAGCACGTGACACCCTTGGCTGACTTGAGTCCTGCTGGGAACAAGTTGGACCCTAGACAAACAGGCAGTATAGTTAGGGGGCAGCGAATTGCCATGATGCTCGGGGTCTGGCCATGGCCTACACAATCTCACCGGAGTAAGTTGAAGCAGATCTACACAATGGCTCACATTTCTTAGAAAATTAAAGGCTGTCTTGAAGGCCACAGGCAAATGTCCACATTCCCCACAGTGCAGATCAAAGGTTATTCAGCCATGCCAAAGGACAGCTTTGCAAGCTGACTACTTCCTCCGTCTAGACATTTCACACAAAAAGTACATGAATGGAGAATAAGCACGTGAAAAGGTGCTAAACGTCATTAGTCACTAAGGAAATGAAAATTAAAACCACAATGAGATACCATTACATAACTAGTAGAATGACTATAGTTCAGGAGACCAATAGCACCATGTTTTAGTGAGATGTGGAACTGGAACCTGCATATATTGCCGGTGACAATATGAAATTGTACAGTCACTTTGGAAAACAGCTTGGCAGTGTTTTAAAAAGTTAAATGTGTACTTAATACAAAACCCAGAAATTCCACTTTTAGTGATCTGCCCAAGAGAAATAGACACATAAGTCCACACAAAGACCTGTACATATATGATCATAGCAGCATCATTTATAATAGCAAAATCTGGAAACAATTCCAGTGTCCATCAGAAAGTTGAACTGATAAACTGTGGTATATCCATGTAATAGAATACCATTCAGCAACAAAAAGGAACAAACTTTTCTCCCAGCTGTATTCAGATATAATTGACAAAAAAGAAACAAACTTGATTCATGCTACAACATGAATGAACTTCAGATGATTTTAGCTCAAGGGAATGAAGTCAGACACAAAAGATGATATATTGTATGATTCGATTTCTTGGACATTTCTAGAAAGGCAAATCTCTAGAGGCAGAAAGTAGATCAGTGTTCGTCCGGGGCTGGGACTGGGAGTAGGGACTGACTATAAAAATGCAGAGGGGACTTTTTGCAGTGATAAAAATGTTATAAACCTGAATTGTGGTGATGGTTGCACAACTGTACAAATGGATTACAAATCATTCAACTATGCATAGACAATGGGTGAATTTCATGGCATGTAAAATATATCCCAGTGAAGCTGTTTAAAAACAAACACAGGAAACACTAACCAACTCATTTTATGAGTCCAGCAGTACACTGATACCAAGACCAAAAATAGTATAAGAAAAGTATTTAGGGTGAAGTGTACTGATGTTTACTATGTACTTTGAAGTGGACCAAAATCAAGATAGATTAATGAATGGATATAGGGATGAGTAGATGAGTAAATTTGTGATAAAGGATATTTAGTAAAATGGTAGAATCTAGCATTAGATGTTTAGATGTTCACTGTAAAATTCTTACAAATTTGCAGTATATTTGAAATCTTTAAAAATAAAATGGGAGCCCAGCTGGTGTAGCTCAGTGGTTGATTGTTGACCCATGAACCCGAAGGAGGTCACGGTTAGATTCCTGGTCAGGGTACATCCCCAGTAGGGGGCATGCAGGAGGCAGCCAATCGATGATTCTCTCTCATGATTGATGCTGCTATCTCACTCTCCCTCTCCCTTCCTCTCTCTGAAATCATTAAAAATATATTTTTAAAAAAGAAAATGGGAAAAAATATAATTACGGTGCATGACATGATTCAGTAGAGGATAACTTTTATAAGGTCAAACAACGTAAATAATAATGATTTAATCCAAAAAGGGAAATAAAAACAAAGTTAATAAAAGTAGGTGGTAAGTTGGGGGAATGAGGGTATGTGTGGTGTGAGAGCTCAATCATCTTCCAGGTCAGTAGGGAATATCTGAACACTTGAATGCTAGCATTCAGACCCAGGCCAGCTCAACTCCAAACTCATGTTCTTGACCAAACTTGACAAACCCTTTCATCTTGGACTCTGAGGGGCTTGAGTCCAATGATGCCCCAGATCCAAGTCCCTGAGGGTCCCTAACTCCACAGAGCCTCTCATGGGAAGGACAGTGGGAGGGGACAGGCACATCCCTCTTTTCAAGGCTGCACCAAAAGAGCTTCTTCTCAGTCCTCCCTGTGTACAAGGGCCCTGCTGGGTTATCACCTCTCAGGGGAGATTTTATTAGCCTGACCTAGGTTTCTAACTAATCCTGACGGAGTGCACTGCGCAGGAAGGGCCCTGTGACCCAAGAAACCTCAATTCATATGCCACAGCGCCACCTACTGGTCAGCTAATATGGCCAAAGGCAGCAAACTAATCACATCTGATGGCTACAGCATTAGCCCCATTTCACAGAAGGGCAAACAGAGCTTTTGCTTTTTACTTTTCCCAATTCATTTCAACATCTTTTAAATGCCAGGCACAATGTTAGGTGTTGGGGTTTTGAAGAAGCCAAGTTCTCATCAGAGGGATTTACAGAACCAGTAGGGGAGAAAAACAACATACGTCCCTGAAAAGGGTACAGTGGGGACACCAGAGGGAGGCCAACCATCTTGGGGAAGAAAAAGCTTCACTGAGGAGGTGGTGGTTTTCTTGGACTGAGTTTTTGAAATTCCAGAGGGGTCTGCCAGACTGCCTGGAAGGGTTTCGGGGGGTCATTTGATTCTAAATTCAGAATTGTTCCACAAGCACAGCACAACAGGTGCCAGGAAGGGCATCTGAGTGAGAAAAGGTGGGCATGGCAAAGATCTCAGTGTGAGTGGAGATACAGCTGCACCGGGGGGAGAATGACCTAGGATTCAGGCTCCAGCACCGCTCACAGCATGGTCCATGATCACTCTGGAGCGCCTCCTCCCTTCCCACTGTGAAGACCGTTGTTTGCCATAAAAAGGAGTCTGAAAACTATCTCCCCAACAAAGGGTCACATGAGGGTATTAAGCTAGTAAATTATCTGCTGTGTTTTAGAAAAATAACCCCACAGAGTGAGGACAGGGTGACCTGAGCATCAGGAAAATTATTTAAGAGATTGTCATCAAAGAAAGGGATGCTAACTCTGAACTCCAGCAATGGTAGTGGGGAAAGAGAGGTTAGAAGAGACAGAAGAAATGGAGGAGACCAATTCTGTCTGGCTAGGGGAACTGGTGGTGCAGGGAGAAATGAATGGAGTGGCCAGGTGACTCCCAGGATTCTTGGCCATGCATATACTGGAAATAATAAAGGAGCAGATTTGGAAGGTGAGATTGTTCTTGACATGTTAGCCTGTGGGACTCTCACATGTAGCAGAATAAAGATGACTGACTTCAAATTTTGCAGTAAGTGAAGAATTCCTTTAGGAGAGGTAGGCCTTGGTTTCGTAATTCCTGTATAACGATACTGT